TGAGGGCCGATGAGCCTTGAACCCGAGATTGCCTTGCGCGCCGGTCCCGGACCTCCTCTAAGGGACGGGATATTTCGCTCCTCTCGGGACAGCGGCCAACCCGTCCCCTTCAGATCCTCACTTCAATACAATTTGAAACCTAAAAGACAGCCGAGCGGGAGGCTAAAAGGAGCCCGGGCGATTGTCGGTACAAAGAAACAAATGTGCGCTTGGTGCCATCCTGGGCGACCGTTGACTAAGATTAGACCTTGAACTTAGTGAGGGATGGGGGTTGGCAGCTGCAGGGAGACCCTCCCTTTGGATTCCTTCTGCAGCAGCGGCTTTTTTTCTCAGCCCTTCTGCTGATATCTTAAAACACTTTCTACCAAATATGCATTTTTTTTCCACCTCAAACTGAGGTCTGTGAGCTCCCTTACCGGAGCGCCCTGGAGGATGCGCTCCCAATGCAGATCCCGAGGCCCCGCTTTCGGGCCCGGCTGATGTCTGGGACCCCTTTGGTGGGGCGCAGCCTTGAGAACCTGCTGGGCTGCGCCGAAGGGGGAGAGAGGTTCCTTGGAGGTGCTGGCTTCCCCTGAACCTCAAAGGTCCAAGGAGGTGGAGAGGAAGAGTTTCAGGGAGGGTCATCTAGGTTGTCCCCTCTCTAGGTCCCACAGGCTCAGGGGCCTGGGCATATTGGGCTGGGGTCCTGAGGGCATAGGCATGACTTTTCACAAGCAGAGATGAAAATAAAGAACTTTCCAGAAGAAGGCAACCACAGGGACGGAATCATGAGAGTGTCAGGAGTGGCATGTTTCCGTCATACCTTGGTCTTCAGCCTCAGGGCGGCCGATCCAGTGGCAGGCTCAGGGACAGGGTGAGACGGTCTTGCGAGGCTGGAGGTTAATACCGGCTCCGCTCGCTCATCGCTCCGCCTGCTGAAAACATACATGATGCGTGGGGACGGGGGTGCCTGGAGAGATGCATTTACCTTTCTGATCAATCCGGGGAGCCCATGGGAGCTGCTTTATTATTGCTTCCTCCCCCCTCCGTCTCCCCTGCCCTGTTTGCTGATTCCCCCCCTTCCCCCCACCCTTTCTGCAGCGCCACCCCAAGTGCACAAATTCCAAGTACAAACCATGAGCCCTTCCCACGGCTCCAGCACAGGGGCTACGTTCCCTTGCTCCCCAGGACTCTCCTGCACCCCAGTTCTCATCCCTCCGCATCTTACTCATCCCAGAGAGGGCGCCTCTGCCTCTTGGGGTGGACATGAAATCGGGGCAAGCTGCATGGAGCCCGCATTCTGTTTCCACAGGGAGGGGTGGGGGGAGTAGACCTTACAGAAAGAGGCAAGGATATGTGAAAAAGCGTGGAGAGTGTGGAGAAGGGGCTCACAGACTCGCGTGTACATTCAAATCACAGGGACAGCCCGGCTGGCAGTGGCTCAGCCGTTGAGCATCGACTTACGACCCAGGAGATCAGGGTTCGATTCCCAGTCAGGGCACATGCCCCGGTTATGGGACGGATCCCGTCCGGGGCGTGCAGGAGGTAGCCAATCAATGACGACTCTCTCATTATTGATGTTTCTGTCTCTCTCTCCCTCTCTCTGAAGTCAATAAAGATATTTAAAAAATAAATAAAATCAAATCACAGGGACAGCCTAATAAATATGTATATAGCTTGACCATGTCTCTAAAGATTCGATGCAAATGGTCTGTGGACCAGCCTTTGAGAAACATTGGTCTAGGCTCTTCTCACCCAGGTCGGGGCAGGGTGTGTTGAGGAGATTAACATCTTCCCTGTGCTTCAGGGTTACCCCGACAATGGAGCCCTATCCAGAAGAATACTGTGAAAGCCTCGGCCATTAAAGAGGCTATGATCAGCTTGAGGTCAAAGCAGAGTGTGGCCTAGGCAGCGAAATTGTACCTATTAAGTATATAGAACATTATATTTTACTGTAGAACCTTATATCTTCACTGTAGTGCATGATTACACTAACAAGCATTGTTGTAGCCATTTGAGAAAGAATATTTTGTTCAATCTACTTTTATAATAGTGGTTGCTCCACTTGGTAGATGAGGAAGATGGGGCCTGGAGAGGTCATGATTTTATCTAAAGTCAATGAATGAGTAAGTAATAGATGCGGGGTTTGGATCCAAGTATCCTGAACCCATAGTCCATGTTGGGGATATGTCAGGGGTTGAGTGAAAGGTTCTGCCAGTGATAGAGATTTAAACCTCAGTCCTTTCCACCACCAAGAACGTTGGGATATAGCTGTGGGCATCCGTGGGAAGTAGATGCCATGGGTGAAGGCACTGAGAGCAACCGTGAGAGATTCTGGGATTCAGCCTGTGGTTAGTGGTAAGGTTTGCTGGAAGGGGCACTTCTGTGGCTCTTCTGGCACAGCAGCCAGACTAGCAGGAGCCAGCGTAGGGATCCTGATGGCATGGTATAGTGGAATAACCACTCAGGGCACCCATAACCAACAGGAACTATGGACTACACCTCTGTCCTTTTTCATGGGACTAAGTAAGCATCAGAATCCAATCCTATTCCATAGGAAGGGGGAGAACCCCTTGAAATGACTCACGCTGGACTTCCCACCAGTCGGGTGTGTGCAATGGGGACTGAAATGCAACTCGGCTTAGAAAAACACAGAAATGTGCTCTATATTCCCCTCAGTGATTTTTTGTTTTTTAACCCTCACCTGAGGATATTTTTCCCATTATTTCAGAGAGAGCGGAAGGGGGAGAGAGAGAAACATCGATGTGAGAGAGACACATTGATCGGTGGCCTCCTGCACGCACCCCAGCCCCAAAGTGCCCTTGACCAGAATTGAACCTGAGACCCTTCTGCCCGAGGGGTGATGCTCTTACCACTGAGCCAAACTGGTTAGGGGTCCTCTCGGGTTTCATGAGAAGATAACACCCATACCCAGGGCTAGAATCACAGAGAGGGCTTCGCATGCTCTGGGGGCTGTAGTATCACACATGACGGAGTGGCAATCTCTTACAGACTTAATGTCACCCCCCAAGTCCTCACGCCCTTTTATCTGCACTGCATAGTATGTACTGGAAGATGTGTTTTACCACTGGCCAAAGCATGCTGGACATACAGGAAGGGAAACTTCCAGAACATCGCTATTCCTTCCAGGTCTTCGGTCTTAGAACTAAAGATCCCCTGGACATAGCACAACTGAAAAGTGCATTGAAGCCCCTGAGAGGTGGAAGGAGGTGGGAAAGACGAAAGATCCCAGAATTTGAGGAAAGACAGGGTGGTGAGTCCCCTGAGTCTCCTGATTGTGCCCCATATATCCCAGACAGGGAGCTGCAGAAGCCCCAACCCAGAACCTTCAACGGGTACAGATAATAGAAACTTCAAGCAAAGCCTGTGTCCCCTAGGCAAAGGGTCTGGCCAAGGGAAAACCAACAATAGGGAATCGTTTGGGCAATACTCACCCAACTCGAGCCAAACACTAAAAGAAAAACCATCCTGCCTCTCCCCACCCCCGCTATTTCAGGGGGGCCAACTGGGAAGCTCATCTCCCATTTTCAGCCGCTATGCCCTGACTCCCATGCAGGGGTCGTGTCATTGTGATTCCCGGGTGAGCTGAAACTCCACCCATAGCTGGCAGCAAGGAGACGGTTGGAAGAGGGGCTAATCCCCTCTCTGCTGTGTCCCCCCTTCTTTACAAGTGTGTCAGCAGAGCTCCATGGGGAGCTGAGCTTTCATCCTGACCCAGCATCCGTGAGACTGAGCTAGTTAGCATTTCACTTTCCCCCACCCTTGGTATCAGCAGGGAGCTGAACCTCCACACCTTTTGGACAAATATTAATCACAAAAAGCTGGAGAAGCTATATTAATATCAGAAAATATGAACTTCAGAGGGAAGGCAGTTACTAGAGTCAGAGAGCCATTACATAAGGCTGGAAGGATTAACCCACGAGGAAGACATTGCAACCCTCAAAACGTAAGTGCCAAACAACAGAGGGGCCATGATCAAGTTCGATTTATTCCAGGTATACAAGGCTGGTCCAGTCTTTGGAAATCAACCCGTGTAAAACACCATGTCAAAAGTATAAAGAAGAAAAATCATATAATCGTATCAACTGACACAGAAAAAGCTTTTGCCAAATTCCACCTCCCATTCATGATAAAAACTCTCAGCAAACTCAGACTAGAGGGGAACTTCCTCACCTTGGTAAAGAACAGTCACAAAAACCTACAGCAAACATCCTATTTAAAGCTGAGAAACTAGATGTTTTACCTCTAAAATGAGAAAAAAAGGCAAGGGTTTCTGCTTTTATAGCTTTTATCCAATGTAGTATTGGACTTGCTAGCAAGGCAAGAAAAAGAAACAAAAGGTCTGTAGATTGGAAATAAATAAATAAAACTGTTCCTATCTGCAGATGCAATGATTTTCTATGTAGAGCAGCCCAAGAAATCTACAAAAAACAATTCCTAGAACTAATAATTGAGTTCAGCAAGGTCGTAGGATGCAAGGTTAGTGCTCAGAAATTAGATACATTTCTGTATACCAGTAATGAGCATACAGAAAACAAAATTAAAAACACAATGCCACTTGAAATGATCAAAATAAAATGAAATATTTACATATAAATTTACAAGAATATGTGCAGGATCTCTGTGGGGCATGCAAGAGGCAGCCAATCGATGTTTCTCTCTCTCTCACTCTCTCTCTCTCCTCCCTTCCTATCTCTCTAAAACTCAATTAAAAAATCTTTAAAAGCCCAGCCAGCGTTGCTCAATGGTTGAGGGTCAACCCATGCACCAAGAGGTTGCTGGTTCGATTTCCAATCAGGGCACATATGTAACATATTTGAAATGAAAAATTTATAGAAATAGACAAATTAGTGATTTCCAAGAGTTGAACAGGGAAGCGGGAGTGGGAAGGAAGTGGCTTTGGACATAAAAGGGCAAGAATCAGTATCACTGTAGTGATGGAAATATTGTGCATCTTGACTGTATCAATGCCAATATCCCGGTCCTGATATTTTGCTATAGTTTTTTGTTGGAGGAAACTGGGTCAAACGTACCCTGGGGGGATGTCCCTGCATTATTGTTCACCGCTGCTTTTGAATCTACAATTATCTCAATATTGAAATATTAAAAATAATTAAGAAACCCCAGGAAATATACAGAAATTGAAAATTGGTCAAGATGGGAAATTTTAAAAAGAAGAAAGAAACTCTCAGAATCCCTCTGTCAGTAGGCCTGACATTAACCCATTGGACTCCATGCCTCTAACTGCGAGGCCTTTCCTCTTGACTTGGCAGAGGCCATTAGAAGATTTGATGGTTAAGGAGAGGAAAAACATAGTAAGGTGGCACACTCTCTCCCGGGCATCCCTCACTCCAGTGTATACAACTGCTGGGAGCCTCATAGAAGTGAGCAGAAGGAGTGCATTTAGCCTCCCAGCCACCCCATAAATGTACCTAAGGAGGCTGCCACCTAGTAACCTCAATGAGGTGCTAGAATCATGATTCTTTAGGCCGCGGGCGGTCAACCTTATTTCTAACTATGCAGGTTAGATGGTTGAGGTTAACATACCGGCCAGCTGCCTCTTTAACAGGTCCAAACGAGGTGTTTAAAAGAGTGCTTTCACATCTTAAAAGAGCAGGCAGAGGGCTCCGCAGAGCTAAGAAAAAAGCCAAAAACAAAGCAGGTTCCTTTGGTTTTTGCATACTTATTTAAATGTGATCTACACACACTGCTCTACCCATATAGTCTATACATTATTGAGAACACGAGCAAACATTTAATGAGTGAATGTAATGCAGATGTGCACTAGGATTCCCGCGTGGGGTAGCTGTGATATATTTGTGGTGGGGGGAAGGAGCTGATGTGGGGGAAGGAGAGAGGGAGAGACAGGAAAGAGGCAAGCAAAAAGGGGAAAAATAGGAATATCCTATACTCAGCGTATACGATATA